TATATATATAAATTATATTCTGTATAATCGATGGTAATGGAGATGTGCAAAAAAAAAGGGATTGTTTTAATATCATATATTATTTTATTACAGTAGATTAACTTGGCTTTAGGCTCTAGCGCTGCTCAGATGGCTTAGAACAATGAGGCTGACCATTCATTTGTTAATGAGTGTTGCTATATAGCAGGGAAAACTAATTTCAGATAAGCTCTAGTAATAAGAGTTCCTCTCACAAAAGCCGTTTTGTCTGATATGCGAGACATAAAAAAGAAGAGAATAGACAGCGTAGATAATGTCATGAAGAGATCTGTGATTCATTCATGTTATCTTGATGACATCAACAGGGCCTAATGGTGTGCTTTGCATGAACATGAAGGTTATGAGGAATTTAAAGGTGGACTTTTATTTTAGCTTTTGACACATAAAACACAGAATTCAGATTCTGGAACTCGCTGTGTCCTTGAAATGTTTTAAACTGATCAAAGCGGTTGACACATCTGAAATCTGTAAAAATTTCGAGTGATTTTGCAGTCAGTAGACTCTCCGAGATGTTCCAGTTTTTTGTTTCCTACACCTGTTTTGTCACATTGATGCTGACATTATTTTGTCCTAATGCAAATGTCTCTCTTCACGTTCTGTGTAGAGGTGGACATCTCCTCTGATCTGCTGAGCTCTGGCTTCACCTCCTATAAGATCAGAGATCTCCTGTATGGCAGAACCTATTTATTTTCCATCAGACCACTTTATGGGGAAGTGGAGGGTCCGGTCACAACTATCACTAAAAGGATCTGTAAGGCCTTATCTCTGCAAATATCATTAAAATTATAGCTTTTTAAATGTTGCACTTATATTGTAAGGCACGATTGATGTATTAGACACATCTGTTGTAAATTATGTTCTCTGGTCATAAAAGAGTCTGTCTTTGTGCTGTTCATTATGTAAAAGTGTATGTATTTATAAAACACAGTCCTGTTCAGTAGTTTGGGGTCAGCAGTAAGTTTTTTTTTTAATGAATACATTTATTCAGCAAGGGCACGTTAAATTGATCAAAAGTGATAGTAAATAAATGTATAATGTAACAAATGATTTCTATTTAAAATAAAAAGCTGAACTTTTGATATTTTAAAAAATTATCATGGTTTCAATAAAAATATTAAGCAGAACAAACATTGTCAACATTGATAATAATAAAAAATGTTTCTTGAGCAGCAGATCAGCATATTAGAATGATTTCTGAGAGTCATGTGACACTGAAGATTGGAGTAATGGCTGCTGAAAATTCAGCTTTTCTATCACAGGAATAAATTACATTACTTTTTTCATATATTTTTAGCATATCAACATTTCGCAATATTACTGTTTATACTCTATTTTGGATCAAATAAATGCAGCCTTGGTGAGCATAAGAGACTCCAAACCTTTTAACAGTGGTGTATAGTAAAAGTAAAACTGGTTTGTTTGTGCTCAGGACTTTTTGTGATTGTCTTACAGTGGGAACTCCTCATCTCATTCCTGTTCAGAGCCCCACGCCGGCCCCTGTCTCTGCTAATACCAAAATCAATTACCCTTCCCTCCACACCACAACCAGAAACGCTCGCACCCCGGTGGTCAAAGCCCCCAGCACACCCACCACCACTCAGAGACTCGCTGTGAGGCCTCAGATCACCATTGGCCAAACGGCTTCAGCACTGACCAGAGTCACCACAGTTAATGACCAAACCACCCTGTCCGTCGAGACACCTCCACCTGGACCAGGTCATTCAGATTCAATTTGGTCTCAGTCAGTTTTTTCAACTTAAAATGTAAAAACTTCTGCTGAAGTTATATTTTAAGGCGTTTATATCATGCTTTGCATTTTAGATATTTTCCCTGATATCCATTTAAAATGTGATTTAAGGTTTTATGCACCAGAAACATTCATTGTTTAGTTTTCATGCCCTTTTCCCACCCTCTCAATGACCCTTAGAATAAAACAGGCTGTTTTCATTGTTTTGCCTTTTTGAATTTGTAAATGCCCATTTTGCATGTGAAATTTGACTCTCTAACAGGCGTAACATTATGTCACCTTTACGTCTGTGCTGAAATATACCACACAAATAAACTACTAATCATTGATTTCCCATTATATGAACCCTTTAAAAGTATAATTTCCCATGAATTTCAAATATCCTAATCCTCATGTTCCAAACCTGTCTGACTATAAAGATATTTTGAGGAACATTATTCACCAATCCGTTTTGGAGACCATTGACTTCCATTCTATGGACAAAAAACACAGAATTAAGAAAGTCATATTGATTTGGAATGACATGAGAGTCAGAATTTTAATTTTTGGTTGAACTATCCCATTAACTGAATCTCCAAGTGTAGAAATTTTACTGCACTGTCTACACAATGTAAACCTATACCATGTGAATGAATTGTGTGCTTCTGTCTATTAGTTTGTGGCAGGGTGAAGGCAGATATTGTGTTTCTGGTTGATGAATCCTGGAGCATTGGTACTAGTAACTTTGGGAAGCTGAAGGATTTCCTGTTTAGAATTGTCACGTACTTCCCCTTTATAGGACCTAAAGGAACACAGGTAGGACATGCTAATGCACTATATTCAATTAAAGGCTTTCTACCTCATTCGGGATCATTCTTTGTCTTAGTCACTGAATCAATAGTCTCATGATGAGCACAAAATCATTCACTCTGATCAGACATCTAATGCTGTAAGCGTGAACTAAACCATCTCATTAACTTGCCTTAGATAGCAGTAGTTCACTACAGTGATCAGCCCAGGATCGAGTTCAACTTTAACACTCACAAAGACCGTAACTCTGTTTTGAGAGCACTCCGCAAAGTCCACTATGGAGGGGGGAACACAAAAACAGGTGCACATACACATTCAAAGGTCAAAAATTGTTAATGACAAATATTAGGGTGATATCAGATCTGAAATGTGATGGTTGTGAATGTGTGTGTAGGTCGTGGGATCAGCTATGTCCTTAGGGAGATGTTTCAGGAGTCTTTGGGTATGAGACAGGAAGTCCCTCATGTGTTAGTGTTACTGACAGACGGGACAGCACAGGATGACGTAGAGCCGCCGTCCAGGATAGCACATGCTCTGGGTGAGTGATATTGACTGCAATGCAGAAAACAGACAAATGTTCATATATGACTAAATATACAGTGCTATTCAAAAGTTTGGGGTCAGTAAGATTTGTTTCATGTTTTTGAAAAAACCAAGGCTCACCAAGCCTACATTTCAGATCAAAAATATAGTAAAAAAAAACAATTACAATTTAATTACCATTTAAAAGAACTGTTTGCTTTGGAAGCTTGTTTCCACCATGGGATAAAAAAACTAAACAATTAGAAACATTATTCTGAGTTTATATCTCACAACTCTGACTTTTTTTTCTCTCGCAATTCGGTTAAATTCAGAATTCAGAGAAAAAAAGTCAGAATTGTGAGATGTAAACTCGTTTTATTAAGTTTATAATTTGCAATTTGTGAGATATAAACTATGAATTGTGAAAAAAATTGAGATAAATTCGCCATTTTTTTATTTTTTGTAATGGAAACAAGCTTCAGTTGATTTCTGTTTTAAGGTATTTTGAAATGTAATTCATTCCTGTGATGGCAAAGCTAAATTTCTCCAGTGTCTTCAGTGTCACATGATCCTTCCGAAATCATTTTAATATGCTGTTTTGGTGCACAAGAAACATTTCTTATCATTGTCACAATATAAAACAGTTGTGCTGCTTAATATATTTGAAGAAACTGTGATACAAATACAAATTTTACAGAATCTTTGATGAATAGAAAGTTCAAAATAACAACATTTATTTGAATTAGATTTTTTATTATTGTTTGTTAAATGTTTTTATTTTAACTTTTGATCAATTTAATGTGTCCTTCCTGGATAAAAGTATAAATTTTCTTTCAAAAAATAAAAAGCATACTGACCCTAAAATTCTGAGAGGCATTTTAAGTAGTATATTTACTACTTGCTCTACACCATGCTTTAGTGACACCTTAGTATAAGGCTTAATAAATAATAAACGTCAGTTTTTGGTGTATTTGTGTGTTAGGTGTCAGTGTGTTGGCCATCGGCATTGCTCATGCAGATATTGAGGAGCTGAGGACCATCGCCTCTCCCACCACTTACAAGAACATCTTCTTCGCCAGTTATTTCGACGATCTTCCGACCATCGAGAGAGAGTTTATCAGCAGCATCTGTAGCGAGGCCTTACAATCAGAGTTCAAACAACACGATGAGGTGGGCCGTTTAGATCCGAGTGGAATTATGGGTATTATTTTCACAATACATACTGCATAAATCAGATTTGTATTTGTCTTTGTCCTAGTCTGCTCAACTGGATACACCTACAGATGACCCGGAAGCTCTCAGTAAACCAGAAGGGCCCTGTCCTCTTAGCTGCAAGGTAAACACTTCCTCTACATCCTCACTACAGCTGTCACACCATGGCTTATATGAATCCTCATTCCCAGTTTGTTGTTGTTCACAGGGTCAGAAAGGAGAGAAGGTAAGTAGCTATTGTGTTACTGTGTGTTATTGACCAAATAATTATAACTGATGATATGATTATATCTAATTTCTCCACTGCAGGGCGATGGATTTGGTCATGGAGGCCTGGTATGTTAGACAGTTGCTGACTGCTTTTTCCTCACCTCATAATTCTGTTTGAACTCTGACACACAGTCTTTCTCTCTTTGTTAGGGGTGTTTACTAAGGTAACATCGGTATTATTATTACTCATACTTAGGGGTTTAAGCAAACCCTTAGTCCTAAAGGCCCATTCAGAACGATAACTACATACTAAGTGTTTAACTTACCGTACACTTAACTAAAACATTTCTTACCAATTAACTTAATGATATTGGCATGATAGATGATAGATTGGGGTAAAAAGTCCCATTTACATTTAAAGCTTTTATTCATATGTATTTTTTTAATTTTTTTATTTTAGTTAAATTTTTAGTAATTTTGTTACGTGCTTTTGTCATGTTTATTTGTTTTTGATTTTTGATTTCTAAATATTATTTATTTATTTTTATCTCAGCATTATATTTATTTTTTGTTAATAGTTTTAGTGCTTATACTTTTTTCACTTAGTTGTCAACATTTCCCATTATCATTAAATTTTAGGTATAATATTTACAGTATAGCTTATTTCAGATAACAAGAATGTTTTTAATAGTCTTAGTTTTAGTTAACTATTACAACACTAGTTTTGCACACACATTGTCTTCAGAAAATATAAAAATCTTTCGTGCAGCATTGTTTTAAGAGTATTTTTTATTTATTTTTTTAATGTTTTTCCGACATAGCGACTCAAGCAAGGCCAGGGGCATTATGACTCATTCTCTCTAAAGGTCAAAGGGGAGAAGGGTGAACGGGTGAGTACATCTAACATCTGAAGTGCTTATGCCGTTCCACAACACAAACTTAAACATAAATAAAACACCTCCATCCTCTTCATAAATACATGTTGACGTGTATGTTAATTACTGGAGCATTTAATATTTGAACCGAGCCGTTCTGTTAATGATGAGATTGTTTTTATGACTCGGTTGTTGTTTTAGTAGATTAAAGGATTAAATCTAATTATTAATATCACAGATCTGTCTCCGTACTATTCATACTTTGCTTTTTTTCTTCCTGTTATCTCTTTGAGAAGGCGACACATGAAAGCGCTTGTCATATCAAAGGGACTCATTTGAATAACAAATTAAATGTGACAGGTCTTGCTAACAAGATCAGCATTGTTATAGATGCTTCCTTATTTATTTTTGTGATATGTATCGATGTGAATGCGTGGATTCATATTGCTCTATATTTGATTTCAAAGTAAAATGTGCACTGAAGATGTTCTGTTATATATGAGGAGTATCAAACAATTTCTGTGTATTTGTGTATATTATATAAGATTGTACTAATTAAAATGCTTTTGCCTGTATTATTCCCGCTCTGCACCCTTTCATCAGGGTCTTCCCGGAACGGATGGCATCCCAGGGTTACCAGGGCGACCAGGTAGAACTGGACCCCCTGGTTCTCCTGGACAAAGGGTAAAAGAAGGATCAAAATTCAGTTTAATGTGGCAAAATATGTAGCAAATGTAGCTTATCAAGAAGATTATTGTTGAGTATTAAGAATATTACAGTTGTTAATGTGCATAAACAATATCTTAATCTGATTCAGGGGGCACCTGGAATTCCTGGTGACATGGTAAGTGTCTCTTTTACATCTCACTATATAAAAAACAGTGTAGGTGGTGATATTTAAATCGATATATTCTGGAAATGGTAGTTAGTTCACTCGTTTAAAACGTGTACGCAATGTCCTAACCCTTTGTATATCTTAGCAGGAGAATTGGGAAAGCTGCAATTATCTTTGAGTGATTCACAGAGGGAGTAATGAGGAATGATTATGGCTATTCGGCATAGAGTATTTGCCCCCACTTTCTTTTAAAGTTTTATTAGATGTCTCACGTTCTGAACAATTTGATACTTGGCATGATTGTGAAAATGACTGTGTCTCATGACTATCAGACCAACTTTTTCTTTACATCTCTTCCTATATCTCTTTTTCACAATCTCAGGGGCCACCTGGTAATACTGGACTGAAAGGACAGAGAGGAGAGAGAGTAAGTTTAGTCATTGACAAGCATTTGATATGTTGTATGGTGGTTTTATTTTATTTATTTATATATATATATTTTTTTTTAATCAAGTTGACCTTTTTTTTTCTTCATGTAGGGCGAGCCAGGCTATGTTATGGGTGGTATGGAGGTTCTTCCAGGACGTAAAGGAGAACCTGGATCCTCTGTAAGTGCTTGTCATACTACAGTATACAACTGTATTAAACTATTTAGTTTGCAAAATATGCAGCTTAGCAACAAATCTGCTGAAATTGTTCATTGTATTTAAATGTTTCCCCGTCCTTAATTAAAAGGGTCCCCCAGGTGCTTCAGGGGTCCCTGGGGTATCAGGTCCTCCAGGACTCTCTGGTTTGCCTGGGCCTCCGGGCTCTCCTGGACTCTCTGTTAAGGTTTGTATGAAATATTAGAAGTATTTACTGTATGTAAATAAGATTTCGTTTCAATGCACCGTGTAAGTTAACAATACGAGTCCATACTCAAAGTAACATGCAATATGTGTGGTATTTACAGTAATTTAATGGTATTTTACTTCCTCTTAGGGCGAGACTGGGGAATCTGGTTCGAAAGTAAGTCATCTACTGTTCAAGGAACATTTTACCATTTAACATTTTATATAAAGTATACATGCAAAATAAGTTATTAATGTATGTTTATAATGCTTCTCACACTCTTCAGGGGCCACGTGGAAAACCAGGACCCAACGGAGAAAAGGGGGAGCATGGAAGTAATGTTAGTGCATGCTTTAGGAGTTAGTCTCTTAAAGCTACTCTGTGTATTATTTATTTTTATTTGATTTGAAAGTACTAATACTAAAAATGCAAATACTGTTACTATCCTAGATTAATATGTAGAAACAGCTATACGTATACCTCAAATAATTTTTTTCGAAGTTGTAAATAAATAAAACAGATAATTTGCTTAAATACTATTTCTGAATTTCCTGTTTAATTTATATGTAATTATTTTTTTTACAAATGTACTTAGCAATGTTCGCCAATTTTCTTGAATGTGAGCCATTTAGTAGGTTGTATTTTAAAATGTCAAAAATGAAATAAGTGATTAAATCATGTGGATGAGTTTTTCTAGGGTCTACCAGGTGTACCAGGACCAGTGGGAGTGGATGGACTTCCAGGACTTCCTGGTCAGAAGGGGGAGAAGGTTTGAGAAAATCTAAATCAGTTTCATATTTCATTTTGTACTTTCAGCAGTGGTCTAAAAGCTATTTTAAGCAATGACTTTCTACAGCTTGCCCAAGATGCATAAATTAAATCTCTCTGCTCATCTGCCTGCTATCTTTTTATAAGTCTCATTGTTCGGAGAGCTGTAAAAATTGCCCTTCCCTCTCTGTCAGGACTGCATAGAGCTAAAATTAGTGCAGCTGGCTGTTTGATTGAATTTCTTTTGTGTTAATCATAAAGGGAGAGGAAGGTATCGGAATTCAGGGTGTTCAAGGTCCACCTGGGCCAAAAGGAGAAAAGGTACATATTTCTGATTTACTCAAAGCACAATCATATTAGTATTTCATTAAACTTATGTATGTTCCCCTGTGAAAAATCTTAAGGGTAATTATTAAGTCAGTGCTAATTAATTTTTCAGGGTAATACAGGACTACAAGGCCCAAATGTAAGTGTGTTGTATTTAAAATCAATGGAGCAGAGTAAAAGACAATTGTCTTGTGCAATGTGTAATTTGCAGTTTCCATATTCATCCAAAGGGCCAAGCAGGAAACCAAGGAGTCCAAGGGATCACAGGGCTTCGGGTTTGTCAAACTATACACAACCATTTCACATCAAAGTTTTTCGTCTTTCAATTTGTGCTGTTAAATTATGTCTTCCACAGAGAATCAACATGAACCTTTTAACAGATGTCAAACTTAGATGCCATTTTGTTTAAGAAATGTTAAGTACTTCATAATGGACGGGTGTTTCACTGTTGTTGTGTTTTTGTCTGTTTAGGGGAAAAAGGGTCTTAAAGGAGATCAAGGAGACAAGGTATGATTTTACACAATTTAGTCAGGCACATGACTTTCTTACTGCTCTGTTTTATTTAACCGATTTGCTCTTTCTCCAAAATAAAAAATAAATCAATCACGTCAAGTCAGTGCTTTTGTCTAGTGCTGCTGCTGCTCTGTGTTTAATAGCCTGATCCATAATACATCCTACTTGACTTTTCAACATGCTCAAAAATGTACAGTCAGTTCAGATCAGGTCAGAATTTTGTTTCATCATTGAAATATGGAATGTTTTTAAACATCAAATGCACTAAACATAATCATAGGATGCTTCTTCTTAATTAAAAGATGCTCTCTGAAACATTTGATTCTAATTGGTCAATTCTGTCATTCTGTTTTATGTTTTATGATACTTAAGTGTATATTTTACTGGGAAAGTTTGAAATCTCTTGTATCACTCCTCTGGCTCTTTCCTCTCACATAATAGTATAATCTCGACTCAAATCAATATTTCATATTCATTGATTTGTATATTTGGTAAACAGTCATGTTATAAGTTGGATAATGAATAGTCAGCTGGTCATTATCACAACATAAACCTGTTCAGGATGATACAAGACTTGACCATCTTCTCATGCTTATTTTACAATAATGGCTGTCTGATGGTGCATTATTTTTGCATGTGGGTATTATTTGACACCTGACATTTGTTTTCAATTACATAAACTACAAATAATAAATCCCTCAGCCTAATCAACAACTTGCTTTGTTTGACAGGGTGAACGTGGGGAAATTGGTCCTATCGGGCCTCCAGGAGTTGCAGTAAGTCCATAACTTTTACCTGTTCACTTCCCTGAAAGATATAAATAGCAACTGTTGGAAAAGGTCAGATGTGTGATGAACCAGTTAATGGATTTATATCACTGCACTTCACAAATGCTTTGTTAAAAAGTCAAATCCTTATTCGTTTGTTCGCTCTTCAAACTTTTCCACTCTGTATGGTGCTGTCCAAATTCTATCAAGAGCAAGGATGAGCTGTAGATCTCTGGGGAAATCGAAAGTCGATTAAGAAAAAGGAAAAACGCCTCCTCGCTGCTCTCTGGCCAGTGATGGACTCCAAAATACACATCAAAGCTAAGGATCCATTATCGACCTGATTAAAAAGAGAAACATCTGAATGGTGTTTCCACCTAATAATGAGACGGCGAGAGAATTATACGCATTAAACATTAAGAAATACTATATTATATCCTTCACATGCAGCCTTGCCACTGTGTGCCCATCTCTGGCAATTCAGATTTTCAGTTAGTTTCAAATGTATCTTCTGCAGTCATTATTAAACCCAAGGCTTCAGAGAGGAGATCAAGGACACTCTCCAACGATTCGACTCCTCATTATCCCTCAGAAACACTATGGCATGATAAAATGTTAAAAGATGCTCTCAGAGAGCCCACACTAGATCTAACATCTCTCAATGCACCTGAGGTCATTCATATTTGCTGAATACTAATTTCATAATTTTTGCAGTGATTAGAGGGAAAGTTTACTTTCTCTTTTTAAACTTTAGGGCTTCCCTGGAGCTGCTGGACGAAAGGGTGATGAGGTGAATCTAAACTATTTTCTTCATTTAACCAAACCTAATACTTCTAATAAACTACACTGCCCAAACTTTGTGGACATCCCCTTCTAAATAACGAGTTTAACTTATTTCAACTACACTTGAAAAAAAGTGTGTATAATCAAACATACAGCAATGCAATCAGCCAATGTTTCAGAACCTACCGTTTATTTGCCCTGTGATGTAAATTTATTTGATCTCACATTGAGCGTCGATTATATGTAGTCAATTAATGCATGTAAATGTATGCAGTTTATCACATCAGCACTTATAGCTGTCTACAATTGAACAGTGTGGGATTTGTATTTCTGTGTTTGATTCACAGGGGCAGCGTGGTCCTCCCGGTGACCCAGCTAAAGGGGTAAAACTGATGTCCCAGAATTGTGTCTCGTCTAACACGTTTTTGGTTAAGAATAGAGTATTGCTAATAATTCCCCTCACATTTCACAGATACTCGGTCCTCCTGGGAAAAAGGGTGCCAGGGTAAGATAATCAAGAATTGCTTTCAAATAAAAATATGTGAACAACTTTCTGCACCAAAGCCAGGTCACCTTTGTGTATTACATCCCAGCTCATGAATTAAATCTGACAGTTATTTACCCTTGGGTTTTCCTCAACTGCATTGATGAAAACCAGCACTTGGACAGCTTAAACATGGTTAATTACTGCCATGAGCGCCAATATGAAACTAAGAGCTCCCCCAGGTCTGCTTGTCAATGAACACACAAAGGCAAAAAATACCGTTTGCAAAGTCCCAAAACACTCCAGGGGTAAAATCTATATTTACATTTACATTTAGTCATTTAGCAGACGCTTTTATCCAAAGCGACTTACAAAGTAAAAAATTAAAAAATATAAATATAGATAAAGTAGAATTAAAATAGAATAGAAAGTGTTAGAGTTAGAGGGTCAAATAAAGGTGGAACAGATGTGTTTTTAGTCGTTTCTTGAAGATGGTTAAGGACTCAGCTGCTCGGATTGAGTTGGGCAGGTCATTCCACCAGGAGGGAACAGTTAATGAAAAAGTCTGTGAAAGTGATTTTGTGCCTCTTTTAGATGGTACAATAATACGCCGTTCACTTGCAGAACGATATAACTATATGATTGGTGCATTTCATTAGAAGTTTTTAAGTGATGCTTCTAGATAGTTTAGTTTAGTTTAGTTTAGTTTTATTGATTTATATAGCACATTTAATAACGACAGTGTCGACCAAAGTGCTGTACAAAATAAAAAAATAAAATGCATAAAACAACTAACCATATAAAACAAATCACAAATTATGACAAAGATAACATCACACATTATCAAATATTTAACAGCATTTACTCCAGACCATAAGCCGTTTCAAAAAGATAAGTCTTAAGTGAAGATTTAAAAAAGATATACCAAACTGAGCTTGAGGACACCTGTCATATTGGTTGTTGGTTGGTTTCATATTATTTCAAACGGTCATAAGCAGAGATATTTAAGCTAGGTTATCTTTTTTCCCCCTGGGCTGTGTGTAAAGGGGGATGTTGGACAAGTTGGGCCACCAGGACCACAAGGAATCAAAGGAGATCAAGGTGATAAAGGTGAAAAGGTGGGTGTATGTTTGCCGTTTTGGATGTGAAAGTACAGTTAATTGTATGTATTGATTAGCTGCCAGTCTGAATGTACTGATTGGTTGTCTTCTGGGTTTTTGAAGGGCAGTCCTGGATTCGGAATCCCCGGTCAGCCTGGTCCCAAAGGAGAGAGCGGAGAAAGAGTGAGTGTTTATGAGGCTTGTAGGTTGGCCTGTAGAAAAGTGTACACTTCTAACCACAGGACACAATGCAGAAAACTGAAAAAATGTCCACACATTAATTTTATAAGCCGTATATGAAATATACTGTTTAAAAGTTTGGGGTCGGTAAGATTAGTTGATGTTTTTGAAAAAAGTCTCTTATGCTCACAAAGGTTGTATTTATTTGATCAAAATACAGTAAAACAGTATATATTGTATAAATATTGCAAATACAAGTAAAAGTCCACATTTGTTCATAAATTATATTAGACAAAAAAAGGATTAGCCAAAATTATTATCATAAAAAAAATATTATTTTAGACTATGTAGACTATTCTGTCCCTTTTTTTTTAATGCAGGGTAATGTTGGATTATCAGGGAAACCTGGGCCTAAAGTAAGTTTATTATACTAACATTTACACTCTTGTATTTTAATACCTGTGAAATTCTGTAAGAAAACAACAGTGATTGTGAATATCTAGCAAAGAGTGTGAATAAAAGATGAAGTGAAACACGGATCATTTACATGAACACTTCCTTTGATTGTGTCCAGGGTGGCGATGGGTCCAAAGGAGAGAAAGGGGAGATGGGTTTCTCAGGCAACCCTGGTTCTCCAGGACTAAGAGGTAAAGATGTAAGTAAATCGAGTGCCCAGAGTGACTGATACTAGAAGTATGGGAGTGTGTGTATATGTCAGCGTGTGTGTGCTATGTATGCATCATTGCACTAAGGATATTAGAGATAGAAGGGTTACTTTGTCATTAAATACCCATTGTTTGCTTTTTAATTAATGCTTCATTCATATTAAATTACAATTTCTGCTTTAATGGATTTCAGGGTCTGCCAGGACTAAAAGGAGAGATGGGATTGAGGGTGAGAATCAACAACAAGCACAGAGAGACACATACATGTTGAAGACTTTCCATTGACATCTATTGTTTGTATACTGAGCTAATATTATTTTAGATCCTTTAGATTTTCATTTATTATGTTTATTATTGAGGGTTTTTTTTTTTTTGTCTTTATAATGCAGATGATTTCAGGTTTTACTATCCTTGTAGGCACATTTGGACTCTGCAATGTATGCAAATCCCCCCCCCCCACACACACACACACATTGATTGTTTTTTGTTATATTTATTCATATTTTTGTTACAGGGACAGTCTGGTTCACCAGGAGAACCTGGAGAGAGAGGTGTCAAGGTATTGTCTCTCTTCTAAACCTCTAAGTCACATTTTCCATCTGTCTTTTGAACTTTCTTTTATTGTCTCCCCCAATTTTTTTCTACACTCTTCATCTAACATCTCTCTATGTTCAAATCAGATATTCTGTATCTGCCTTGTAATTTAACCCTTCCAATTAAAATTTTTTTTATCCTGTCTACCTAACTAGTTATGTTTCTAGCTCAAAGCAAAAAGTCTATAACACTCACACTTCTCCTTATCTCCAATGTCAGGGCCCTCTCGGTCTTCCAGGACGACCCGGTGACCCTGGGGGAAAAGGCGAGCCTGGGAAATTAGGGTTTCCAGTAAGCAGCTTCCTTTATTTTGTAGACAGTATTTGATGAATACTTCTCTAAAGCACTTCCAGAGAGCCAATGAATTACAAACCATAATAGAAGAGAGTAGTCAATACCGTTTGATAATGAATGCCCATATTTTTCAGGGTCCAGAGGGAAACAAAGGAGAGAAAGGCGAGCTGGTACGTGCTGCTATTAAAAAGCAATGATGATTTTATTTTTATGATAGTTTTTTTTTTTAAGACAAATTCAGTATTTAAAGGGCCAGTCATGCTCTGTGCTCACATAACAGAATCACAGTTTTTCTTGTCATGCTCTCTAATGATAAATTAAAGAGCAAGAGTCACCATATTAATATTTTACTCTCTACAGGGAAGGCCGGGACCACCGGGAGACACTCGAGTGAGTTTTACTCTCCTTACTGGGTATTATAATCAAGCTGTTCAACATAAATTAATATTCATCTAATCATGTTATTTTCAGTTGGTTGGTTTGTTACACGTGTCAAAAGCTGTCAAGCCTGTATTGCTCTTTTTTATTTATTTTGAAGCATTTATTTGAATATTTCATGGTTATCCTTGTTAATACATATTGTCAGTACCTTCAGATTCTTATAATTCTTCTTCCATAGTTCACCATGTCAGATAACACCATTCTCACCAGGGCCATTAAGGTAAAAGAAGACATTTAGACATTTTTAATTTATACAAATTTACAGATACAAAAAAAAAAAAACTCTAGGAACCTTGGGTTAATTGTGGGGTGTGTGTTTGGTGTCTTTAAAGGGTGAACCTGGTGAGCCGGGGCTCCCAGGACTCCGAGGGGAGACAGGACGTCCTGGACCACCTGTAAGTGTGGCTTCCACTTTTGATGTACTATATGTATATACTTAATAAAAACTGAATGATATGGGTTGCTTTTATTCTCCCTTAGGGTCTTGAAGGTAAACCAGGACCTCCAGGGGATTCACTGGTGAGCCACTATAAAGTCATGTCCACCTTTATGAATTTATTATGATGCTTATAAATTTGAGATTACATTTTTTTCTGCATATTTTTGTCAATGTTTCAGATGGCATGCCATTTAATTATTGGCGGATGAAAGACTTAAACATTATTTAATGTAGCTCAATTTTCTTTCACTTCTAGCTTGGATCTAGTAATGGAAGAGATGGTGTGGATGGTTTACCAGGAAGGCCTGGATCTAAGGTTTGACTACTTCTGTTTAAATTTTAATTTGTGCAACTTTTCAAAAATATGGTGACAGCTAATCATTCTCTTCATATGTGTTGTTGTAATTGTTTTAAGTTATAATTATCAGCGTTTTTGTGTGTACGCAGGGTGAACCAGGACAGAAAGGGGACCCAGGACCAGTGAGTAGGCCTAATAAAAAGTATTTTGTGATAATTTATCATGTGATTCATATTTTAAATTTCAGTGACATTAACTGAATTGCAGGGTGTGCGACCAGTGTACAGTCTTAAAGTGCATCAAATGTCTACACGATGTCTGCTAATGAGTCTGTAGAACACTTTTTGTCATTTTGCTTAATGTCAGCTGAAATAAAGAAGTTAGCTAAAATATGTAAAGTAATAATAATAATAAATCCAACAATTATATGCACTTTAAGGTTATCTTTAGTTCTTGAAGGGCAGATTATTATCATAATTAAAGTGGCTGGAGTTAATGCTGTGCTTTTCAGGGTTTTGTGTGTGTGTGTTTGTCCATGTCTGTTTAATTTAACAGAAAGGAGAGAAAGGAGATCCTGGACGTGCTGGGATAACTGGTATGCCTGGTTTACCTGGGACACCTGTGAGTATAGTGACATTTACAGCAGATATAAACCATAAAATCTCTATAACAAAGCCATTCATTTCCTCTTTCCTCTTATCTTCTCTTCTCTTCTCTTGTAGGGCAAACCTGGTGTTGATGGGAAACGTGGAGTAGCTGGAAAAGATGTAAGTGTAATATGTAGTTCTAAATGGCTTTGAACTTATTTATAAAATCAAACCACTGTTTTTTCCAGGGAGAACAAGGACAAAAGGGTGATGAAGGGACAAAGGTGGGACAACAGACTGATATGAACTACAATTCCATTATATTTAAAGGATTAGTTGTGCCAGAAATGAAAATTTGATAAAAAATTTACTCACCCTCAGGCCATCCAAGATGTTGATGAGGTTGCTTTATCATTGAACAGATTTGGAGAAATTTAGCGACTCCAGTCCATCAATTAATGTCTTGTGAATTGAAAAGCTGTGTGTTTGTAAGAAACAAATCCATTATTAAGATGTTTATATACCAGACCATAATCCATAATAACGCTTCCTCCAGTGAAATTGTCCTCCCCTTTTGTCCTCTCACTTCAAACTCCATATTCATATTTGTGAAGAACTGTTTTGGACTGTTTTCGCTTGTAAACGGTGCTTGATCTGTGCATATTTCTCTCCTGATTCAGACAAGACAACTTTTTCACTGGAGGAAGCAATAGTATGTATAGAAGACTTGTATTTTAGCAGGAAGCAACGGTTTGAAGTTAAAAACATCTTTGTGATTAATTCATTTATTACAAAATTGCAGCTTTTCACTTCACAAGACATTAATTGAAGTCGTGTGGATTATTGTGATGTTTTTATCGGCTGTTTATACTCTCAACATCCATTCACTGCAGAGGATCCATTGGTGAGCAAGTGATGTAATGCTAAATTTCTCCTAATCTGTTCAGATAAAGAAACAAACTCATTGATGACCTGAAGGTGAGTCAATTTTAAGGAAATTTTCATTTTTGGGTGAACTATTCCTTTCAGCTGAAATAAATTTGGCTAACATAATTTCTTATTTTAATGCATAGGGTGAAAAAGGTGAACCTGGTGCAAATGTAAGATAATCCAAAAATCAAACATGTAATAATGCAACAATACTTTCTTTAAATGCAATTTTAACTGTGGTACAATTAAATGGTTTGTTTATATCCATTATGTTCATTATACGTATGTTCCTTATTTTTGCCATTTTAACTGCTTAGGGAAATGAAGGTAAAAAAGGAGAGCCAGGATCTCCAGGCTTGCCAGGTCCTCCTATTGTTCTCCAAGAGGTAATTTGTTTGTTTGTCTGAGCTTAGGCAGACTTTATTTGTTACCATGACTGTAAATTATATTTGTGTTTGTTCTCAGGGTATGTCAATTGAGGACATTAAAAAGGCATTTCCCATACCAATGGGACCCCCTGGTGTGGTGGTGAGTTTCACATTAATGGCATTGTGAATATGAGCTTCTTTACCAAAAAAATCAACATAAAAAGGCTGTGCTTTCATGTTTTTCATGAGGTAGACCATTATCCGTTCATATTGCACTGACTTTCAGGTCTTACATGTGTGTGTATTTTTCTGTGTTTGCAGGGTCCTCCTGGGATGAAGGTAAAATATAGTTTGCCAAAAAACCTTGAAGAAATGAAAAGTTTCTCAGGCGATATGTAATTTTTCTCCTTTGGTTGGCAGGGAGAGAAAGGAGACATGGGTTTGAAAGGAGAGAAGGTATCAAAGTTTTCTACATCTCATTGATTGCACAAGTTATCTCCATAAATCTATGCTGCAGAAGCAATGATAGCTGGCACTGTATTATTTAACAGGGTGATGCTGGCCCACTGGGGAGAACTGTTGAAATGAAGGTTACTCAATGCCTATACATAATTTACTTCATTACAAAACTGATCTTATGTGGTGTAAACATTATGTTCTATTTTAGGACATTGAAGGCTTGTTTGATTCATATGGTATTAAAGTAAGTGTCCCGTGTTTTTAAACAGTTTGCTTTTAACCCTGCAGAAGTTCTGATGGCATAATGTTTGATTTTCTTACATAAAATGGACATTTATTAAAATAATAATTATGGGAGGAGGGTTATTTTGTATCCTAGAGGCAACACTATGCAATGGAATGACTTGAATGAGAAGATTTATTTATTTGAATATTTGTAGGCAAATTTAATGGCTATATAATTTTTACTGATATCAGAATACTAAATGTTATAAAACATTATGTATTAGTGCAGTAGGTGTTTTATGAACTAATAACAGAATCTAATAAAACTGGCTGCCAGATGAACTTTTACTCTACTTTTGCTCAGATATTTCACTTTAATATTTAATATTAATTGCATGCACGATTTACTATTAATAACTAAAAAACTTTTTATATAATAATTAATATTTATGCTAAAAACATGCTTTATAAATAAAATATAATAAAAATATACATTTGGAACACTTGGGACATGATAACGGCAAAATTCTCAATGGAGGCATCCATTACATCCATAACATATACAAAGAATTGATATATATATATATATATATATATATATATATATAGTCTTAAAATGAAGTTTACTCGCTAACAAATGAAAATCATGAAATGATTTTAAATTTACCATAAGGATGTAGTGTAGTGTTGCTACATTATATGCATTTTATTGTCATCTTATATGAATTATACATTTGCATGAATTCTTACAATTTTGACTTGCATTGATGTTACACTAAAGTAAAACATTACCGCATTTACAATAAAAAAAAAAACACTTTAACAGCTCTCGCTGCTGAAGGCCTTGATTGACAGGCTGCTTCAGGATGGAATAGAGGAGCTTCTTCATGAGATCAGCTCCATCAGAGACGTGAAAGGAGACAGACGGGAGCCAGACTCAAACATCATCACTGAATACACCGTGAGTAGCCTCCTGAACTTATGAAACATCTCAGGTAAACAAATTACTATAATAATCATAAAAAAACTCTGATTACTAGTCAGCTAGATTTTTGGTTTACGATCCATACCCACTATCAGCAATAATGTTCTTGCTGTATTAAGCCTATCTGAATCATAAGACCTAATCCACAGAGCTCAGTAAAGTACAGTCACGCACAAGAGTCATTACCTGATATGGATTTGACTGAGGAAGAGTCTGATCTTGAAGAGGGGCAGATGCCTGAATCAAGTCCTGTAAGCAAACATTCGCTCCTGTATCAGTAATTACAGCATCATTTTTCATAATCCATTTCTAACTGAACATCAACACACTTTATTCAGTTTTTTTCAGATATACTTGACTGATTTGTTCTGATATAGTGTTATCAACATTTAATGCAAGCAATACAGTTGTCGTTGTTTTTAATGTGGCTTCATGTCTTGTCTTGTCTTTGTAAGAAGCCTGTAGTAGAAAAAGAAGTGGGTCGTACCCTTTCGAACATCTCTATTCACAAAAAGGCTGACCTGAGTAAAACCAAAGACAAGCTGGTAGATGTCGAAGAAAAACTTGTGGAGACCAACTTCGGTGACGTAACACCTTTGAAATTTCTCCAAACCAACACTTCCTCTGAGAGGGTATGCTTGCCAGTGATATTTTTTTTATTGTATTGAAGCTCATTAAAGTATGTCTTTAGTGTACATACTTAGTGTATTTAGTTTATATAGAAAAATGTAAACCTGCACCTCATCACATAAGCTTAATATGATTTGAAATGTTTTTTTTTTCCAGGTTTATTTTAACACCTTACCATTTATTGGCTACTTTTTAAATAATTTTCAAAAAGTAAAAATTTTTTGTTGTTGTTGTCAGTTGGGTTCTGGGAAGGTAGAGGTAAGTATGGAGACAGTTTTCCACAGCCATGAGGACACGGGGAAGAAAACATCTGGAGAGAAGAAGAAAGGCAGAGAGAGGGGAAAGGTAAACTGATCATGCTAGGTTTATAGATGAGTTTCAGGCTCAGTTCTGTGTTGTACTTACAGTAAATTAACAGAATATCAGATAATAAAGAGTCAAATTAGCCATAAACAGGTTTTGGTTATTAAATAGACAAATATCTTTATACTGGTGAAAATTTAAATCTGTGCAGTAATAGTAAAAACCTAACCAGACATAATTAGAACTAAACATTACAATTAAATATTAAATGTCATGGCCACTAACCTCCTGAATGTCTCTAAATATTTCTGATGATTGTTATTTAAAGCCTTCTCATAAATTATGATGATTCTCAACCACTAAACTCTCAACCAGGGCAAAGGAAATAAAGGACGTCAAAAACGACAAAGGAAACGTTTGGTAAATGTTTTATCATCGCACCTAACCTGACATTCACACATCATTCACATCCAAGGGAACTTCATTCTAAATTTGAACGTTATGACTATTACATTTTTGTGATTACTTAAATATTCTGATATACTAGATATATTATAGACTTGTCTAAATATGCCTAAATATTTCATTTAAAAAAGCACAAACCCTAAATGATTTATAAACATACACTTAAATCAAATATTAAATGCACATAATCATAATGTATAATTAATCTAACAAATATGCTACAAATTTCTCTAGTCACAGTCATTATACTCCCACTAAAAGAACGAAGAATGAATGAATATTCTGTCACCATTTCCTCACCTTCGACCTGTATGACTTTATTGGAATTTAAATTTTGGTTGAATTATAACTACTTAAATCCTCCATGAAGCATGTTTACCAATATTGTTATTTTAGTCTGTTGTGTTAATCGTGTCTAATAGTAAATGTGTTTCTAATCTCTTCTCACTGACACTGTTACATCTCATGTTCTGTCTAATCCTTGATCATTAGAAGGCAGAAATCATTTCTCTTATTACTGTAAATTACAGGAAGATCAAGACAACATGGAAGACGAGGTTGAGGAAGCATCATCTGACGACGAGGAATATGAATATGAGGTAAGTCCGTCACATGAACCTATTGTGAAATCTAATGTAAGACACCTCGATGATGGCAAATACACTGATGTGATTCATAATCTCAAAAGATATTGCATAGTACATCAGATTTTGTCTATAATGTGTTGACACATTCATAATAAATTGAATGGGACCTGACATGTCAACCCACGCTAATCACCTGAGTTTACCTCATACCTCTCTCACTCACACCCACACTGGAGAGTCCAGTCACACCGTTCACGTCACACTTAACAGAGCCTTAATATATTACTCCCACTCCACAGCCAAAAGAAGAAACAGTAATCACTACTAATTAATGTTGAGTAGTTATTCTCATAATCTCTCATCACTTGCTTTCCGTTTGTATCTTTAACCAAGGGAATGTTTTACACACTGAAGACATTTTTTCATGAACTTTTCACATTGATTTTTGAATGTTTTGGTTGTATCATGTCAGGACGAGGTGCCCACGGAAGAGCCTTTTCCCTCTCGAGAGGAGAAGGGCGAAGGGGAGGAGGTGAGTATTATTAAAACCAAATCAAATCACAATAAACACACATACATACACAACTGGAAGCTCTACTGCAGACACAGTCACAGTGTAGATGAATAATAGAGGTTACAGTGGAATAATGTTTCATCAGTACAATATGGTTGTACAATATGCTATGGCATTGAACTGAAAAAAAAAGTTTTTTTTTCTTTGGAACTCTGTTTTTGTCCTCAGCTAAAATACTCCGCAACAACTGCTATATACACACAAGAAAATGAGGTAAGAATGTCTGCTAAACCTTTCTTTTTAATATTACTAATCATTTTAAATGGTTATGGTTGAATAGGATGCTATTGAAAAATTGTGCTATTTAAAAAATGTTACAATTTACACAGGGTGAAACAACTTCTCCGATTACACAGTCTTTAGAGGAGATTACACTGGTAAGAATATACACTACCGTTCAACAGTTTGGGGTTGTTTCGATTTTTTGGGTGTTTTTGAAAAAAAAGTGGTTATGCTCACCAAAGCTGCATTTTTATTTGATTAAAAATACTGTAAAAACAGTGATATTGTGAAATATTATTGCAGTTTAAAATAAAGTATTTTTATTTTAATATATTTCAAAATGTAATTTATTTCTGTGATGACAAAGCTGAATTTTCAGAAGCCATTACTCCAGTCTTCAGTGTCACATGATCCTTTAGAAATCATTCTAATATTTTATTGCATGACAAAATAATTACCTTTATCAATGAATTTCACCAGCGCAAACAATATTTTGCGCAAGTTCAAATGCATTTTAAACAGTCAACTTCAGTGTATTAATTAAGTGTAAGTTTCAAGAACATTAAAAGAATAAATAATGAAACATCCTGGTGAAGTAACACGGTGGCATCCCAGCATGCACTGTTCTTGATTTTTCAGTCATGATTTTTCACTTGCAATGCAGAATGAAACATTAAACATGCTTCATAGTCTTTTCTTACAGATTTTGTAGTAAATATACAGCCATTACTCCAGTCTTCAGTGTCACATGATTCTTCAGAAATAATTCTAATATGCTGATTTGGTGCTCAAGAAACATTTCTCATTATTATCAATGTTGAAACCTTGGTACATACTCAAAGTCTTTTTACTGTCACTTATGGTCAATTTAATGCATCCTTGCTGAATAAAATGATTAATTTCTTTAAAAAAAAAATCTTTTACTGACCTAAATCTTTTGAACTGTAGTTTTGGTATATTTTACATAGTTTGTGTTTTTTTTTTTTTTTTTTTGGATCATTCATAATTTATTGTTTAATTACTTTAACATGTCCTCTCAATGTGCTTTTAGATGGTTTACACAACAACAGCGAGTCCCCTGCTTTCATCAAAATTCACAGAGCAGGTACTTGTTCGACCCAATGTTAATTTCAGCAGCTTACTGCATGTGATACACATTCAATCATTTTATATGTTTTACAGAAGCTGCCTGAAACCACATTATTATCAGTGCTAAATACAACACAAACTGGAGAAGAGGTAAGAGCTTCTGTCTCTTTTGCCTTTTTGCTCTCTTATATTCCACAGCTCATGCACTGATATGCTCCAAGACTTGCATGTGGCTTTAGTGTGAAGCATGAACTAACTAGAGCTTTGGAAATCGTTCTTTAAGCATGTTTGTTGGATGTTTTAGCTTATTGCAACTGATTACTTAATTTGTTTGAGTCATTTAATTGGCATAAATAATGTAAAATGTCTTTTAAATTATGTTTTTATTACATGACAAAATAGCCTTCACTTTATCAATGAATTTCACCAGTGCAAACAATATTTTGCGTAAGTTCAAATGCATTTTAAACTGTCAGCTTTAGTGTATAAATTGTGAGTTTCAAGAATATACAAAGAATAGCTAATATAATATCATGAAGTAACACACTGGCATCCCAGCATGCACTGCATTTGATTTTCAGTCATGATTCCTCTGGTTTGTGCACTTGCAATGCAGAATGACACATTAAATGTGCTTCATAGTCGCTCTTACTGATCAACTACAGGTTTTCTTTAATATATTTATTTTCTTAACACAGGAGCTCCCCTAAACTCTGTAAGAGAGACATTCAGGTGTGTAGAAACTGTGAAGGGTAAAAGAGGGGGAGGATCTGACTGGCCGGCATTACTTTGGGAGAGCCTCTTTTCCCGTCCATGCTGCCTCCACCACGACTAGCGTTCAGTATGCTGCAGTGCCTTTGATAGATTGAGAAGAACCACCGGCACTCTCTGAGGAGAGACCAGCCCAGTAAAAACATAAAGAACAGATCTTGTAATGTGCTGTCTTTACACTTACTGAACAAATGCAAGCTAAATCATCTATAATCCATGTAAAAGTGACAACACAAAACACTAATGAATGAAGTTGTTTTAATAGAAAATCAAATCATTTGCCCTGACAGCTCATTCAACATCGATTTGTTCATCAGTTCCTTATTTATTGATAAGACTGAAAAAAGATTGTATTTTGGTTGTCTGCATATTTAGTTTTTCATTTGCGGTAACATATTGTGCTACCTGTTTTCACTGGTGAAATTCAATGGCATATTGCTTTTCTTTCATATTTAATCTGTTTGTGCATGTCTGTCAGTAAATGTGTTCTTCCTAAACCAGTCTTAACCAGAGTCTTTATTGTGTGTTTTGTGTGTTTAATTCTTTCAGTCATGCTTCATAACATTTTTTAATTATATTGATAAAATAAATTGGTACCATATCAATTATTGGCTGATATGAGATATTTTAATTTATCAGTATCAGTTAATTTTGTGTGGGTAATTGCTTATGCTCACTTTTCCCTATTTTTAATTTTAGATTACCATTATTAAGTTAATTGGTAACACTTTACAATAAGTGTTCATTTGTTAACATCACTTAACATGAACTAACAATAAACAATACTTCTATAGCATTTATTAATCATAGTTAATGTTAGTTGATGTAACTAATCAAATTAGTTAATGAATTAACATGAACATTTTTATCTATGAACATTAACAAAGGTTAATAAATGCTGTAAAAATATATTTCTATCAAATGATTTATGATTGACCTTATTGTAAAGTGTTACCAGTTAATCGTACAATAAATAAATAAAACACTAGTAATTTAATAACACTGTTTAATGCATTCTTATAGCAAATCTCAAAATGAAAATTTGATTTTTTTTCATACTGTACATTATAAGGTTTTGATGCCTAAATTCACTTGTAGCATTTAAAATGATTGATTTAATAATTAAATACAATAAAGTAGTGACGTAAAAATGTACCTGAAACTCCTGTTTATAAGACTGTTTGGGTATAAACAGGTAAACTTGTCCCACAATAAGGGAAGGGGCAAGATCTAAAGTGAAGAGGAGTGCCCCTTCATCTGAGCACATGGTAAAACATTTATTCATAACAGTTCACTTAATGTTTGACAAGAGAATTTCATTTGCGCATAGAATAAGCATCTTAATGAAGCACAAATCGTGTGTGTCTTGTGTAGGCCTACATGCCTGGAACACCAGGAGGACAAAACCGTTACAAACAAATATCTAAGGTGATGAAAACTGAATTACAGTGACATATTTAGTGCTTATGATTCAATAAGCTCATCTTAGAGAGCTGCAGATGTGATTGCGTGATGTAATGGAGGGAACAAAGTAAAATTTTATCTCATCTTTTAGCGGTCCACCTCGGGTGCACGAGGCAACAAGAAGCTAAATGTGAGTTATGTGAGTTTAATCTACGTAAAAAAAAAAAAGAGAGAGAAATTCATAGCACTTAAAAGAATATTTCATCCAAAAATGAAAATGTACTCACCCTCAGGCCATCCGAGATGTAGATGAGTTTGTTTCTTCATCAGAACAGATTTGGAGAAATGTAGCATTACATCACTTGCTCAACAATGGATCCTCTGCAGTGAATGGGTGCCGTCAGAATGAGAGTCCAAAGAGCTGATAAAAACAACGCAATAATCCGCATGTAATCCATACGACTCCAGTACATCAGTTAATGTCTTGTGAAGCAAAAAGATTTGTGTTTGTAATAATCAAATCCATCATGAAGATGTTTTTGCTTTAATCCATCACTTCTGGACAAAAAACAGTCCATAATCTAAACACTTCCAACCGTTTTTTTTTTTTTTTAGAAAATTTTCATTTTGGGTGAACTATTCCTTTGAAATATTAAAATTTATGAAGTCAACTCAATTCATTTGAAAGAGAATTCTTGAATCGAATCAACTTAAACAGTTCAATAAAATAACTGAATATTTAAAAAAAGATACAAACTCATCCTGATATCACAAGACAAGTTCAAATGATACAACCACATTAATTATTCAAGTCAAAATGTGTTTTGTGAAGAAGGTGGCTGAACCTGAAAGCCATTACTGGTTTATTTGAGCAAACTTTGTGTGTGTGTTTTTTTGGTCAAAAAAAAAGAGAGAATTGTTTATGTTTCTGAAAGTCTCTGGAATTAGTAAACTATAAATACAGTAATCAACTCACAATAAAAAGTTCTCACACTTTATTTTTCTGTTATTCTTGTAGAAAAAGAAGCAAGAAAACAAAGACCTTGAGCCTGTGACAGAGATGTACAGGGAAAGAGAGAGGGAAGAACAGGGGGAGAGAGAAGACAAAGTCTACCCTGAGAACAAGGAAAGGGTGATTGAAGAGGACAAGACAACTGAGGCACAGTGGGACATGGAGGAAGAGGATGGTGTGATTGAGACCAAGGAATACAGTTCAGGTGATGGTGATGAGGAGACGGGCAGTGAGGAGATAGAGGAAGAATTTGAGCTAGAGAGGGAGAGAGAGAGACAGGAGATGGAAAAAGAAAGGATTGAACTGGAACGAGAAAGAGAAGTAGAACTGGAAAAGGAGGAGAGAGCTAGAGAGGGAGACAGAGACAAAAAATGGAATGGGAGAGACAGAGAAAAGATGGAGAGAGCGAGGATGGGAGAGACAGACGGAGAAGAAGACATGGGGCCCCATATTTCCCACTGTGATCACCTGAAGGTAAGTATGTGCTTTAAAATCTATAGTTTTCCAAATATTCAACATGGTCTCAGACTTTTGGGCCCCCAATGTAATTACTGTGATTATATTATAATTATATAAAATCTATTTTAATTGAGCTATAGGAGAACTTTCTTTTATCATAATGTACACAAAAATTTTAAAAAAACCTATTCCATGGTTATTTTAATGTTTAAAATTAGATTTTGAATCCCAGATTTTCAGTGTGGTCTTTGTAGGCTATCTGCAAATAAACAAATTGTGTATTGTATGTGCATTTTTCCTTTCTTGTACAGGGACCTCCAGGTGAAAATGGAAAGCCAGGCCCTAAGGTTAGGCAATCTTTTTCATTGTAAGTCGGAACGATCTGTTCTTGCTAATAAGCATGATAGGCTCATCCTGATAAATAATGTTATTTGAGCAATGTTCTCGTCAGCTCTTATTAGTGACTAAGCTCTGTGTGTTCCTAGCTCAGCCACACATACGACATCCCCGCCTCCTCATTCACAATGTTAGGAAATTATTACTGTCAGTCAGACTGGGTGGGTGAAATTTCAGCAGTGCCCTTCCACTTGCTTTGAAGCCCCAGAGCAGGGGTCACCAAACTCGGTCCTGGAGGGCCGATGTCCCGCAGAGTTTAGCACATACATGGAAAGTTTTATCTTCTATCACCAGGGAGACAGTATCCCAGGAGAACCAGGTGACAGAGGAATTCCTGGGCTCCCAGGTCGCAGGGTAATATTATGATAATTGTTCTTTCAGAACTGTTCTTTTCTGTAGTAGCATATTAGTTTGTTGCTGAAGTAAATAAATGATGAATTCTAAAACCTAAGGCTAGATTTGTTAAACAGGACAAATTTGCACGAGACCGCAATCACATAAAAGTGCTGAGTAAAAGTCCTGTACTAGGAAATCACGTTTCATGATTTATTTAAATACTCTCGTACCATAAATGAAAGTGTCTGAAAGGGAAACTTCTACAAATGCATATGCAATAAGGTCAGCTGCAAAAATGTCCACGCCTTTTGATCACAAATTTTTCTCTGCGTGTCTTTAGTACAGTGGTTCTCAACTGGCTTGGTCATGGGACCCACATTTTCCCATGGTCATCAAGCCGCGACCCACTTTTTTAGGATATATACAGTATATATATATATATATATATATAATTTGTTTAAAAAACAAAACAAAAACAAAGCAAATTTATTTCACAAAAATTGTTGACACACACAAGTACCGTCCCCCTTTACTTAACATACACACAAATTAAGAATATGACTAATACTGATGAATAAACAGCCTATAAGGTAAGGCTATTAAATATGCAGTCTCAAACTAGTTTTTGTTAATACAGTTAGGTTAGTATGAACCACTGCAGTCAATTAAACATAAACAAAATAACACAAAATGAAAATATCACTTTTGGGTTATGGAAACAACAGTTACCATGGTAAATACACAATACTAACATGAACTGTTAATGAAACATGGAAACTGCTCCTGAATAGAATGAATATCATATATGCCAATCCTTCCCAGTTAACACACGAAGTACCAGTTATGTGATTTATTGGTACTTGACTTTTATTTCACACGTTGCATGCTCGTAGTTTCTTTTGCACTTTAGTGAAGTGATAAACAGAAACTATTTTTTAACAGAAACTTCAATTTGCGCGTGCAATTGAAGAGTGCGTGCTACAAGCAAAGTATAACGTCTGACAGGACAGGATAGTTCGTTTGTTTGAGGAGAGAGACTTTTTATTTCATAAGAAGTTATGAAAATAACGATAGAATAATGAGACTGACATTAAGCCTGACAACATTTCATCTGACCGCAGATACTGAATCAGGACAGCGTGTTTTTCTCAGGCACTCTTTTCTTAAACTGCATCTGAGAGAAGTGTCAACAGCTTTCACGCACGTCTTTCAAAATAAATGTCTCGCATCAGAAAATCATTTAGAATTACGCTTTTTGTTGTTGATGTTTTCTTGACTGTACACTCCGCGACCCACCAGTTGAGAAACACTGCTTTAGTCAATCCTGACAGTAGTTTTTTTTTTAATGCCAAAAGAGGGTTTGTACTGGTGCAGACTGTTAGTAAATTTGGCCCCAAGTGTTCAAACAGTAGCATGTTTTTTCTGTCTGTTATTTGCTGTTAATTTTGTGTTAAATGCTTTTAACAACTTTTTCCTCAACATTATAAGGAAGCCAAAGGCACTGTCGGAGGTAAGGGGCCTCCAGGTCTCATGGTAAGTCACATGTGATTCCAACTCATGGGCAGATACTATAGCATCCCTCAAATGTCACTATAGCATCCCTCAAATATTTTTTATTTTTTATTTTTATTTTTATTTTACTTTATTTTATTTTATTTTTAATTTGAATTTCTTTTTTTTCTTTCTTTCTTTTTCTTGCTGTATTTTCTTTCTCTAGATTGATTTGTTAATTGATATTAACAAATAAAAGAAATATAATCTGGTTACCGTCTTGGTGGTAAAAGAAATATTTCCAAAATTTTTTTTTTTTTTAAGAAAGGAAACATAATATTGATAAACCAAATATATAAAATAAATATAATCTGGTTACCATCTTGGTGGTAAAAGAAATATTTCCAAAATTTTTTATTTATTTTTTTTAAGAAAGGAAACATAATATTGATAAAACAAATATTGCTTATATAACATTTGATACACAAAACCTGTGGCAAATCTTGCTGCGTTCTGTGATGCTGCAAGTGATTTTGTAAAAATTACTATCTCACATTTTATATTATCACATTTTATATTATTTCTTTCTTATCTAGCTCAGCTTGACTTTTTGTTCCACATTTTTAAGTTACTTTGAATAAAAGCATCAGCTAAACGAATGGGTCAACAGACTGTTTTGATGAAGTAAGATGTCATGATTCTGTAATGTGTTAACTTCTCGTTTCTCTTTGACCTTTCTCTTTAATTAAGGGTCCTAAAGGCATAACAGCTATGAAAGGAGAAAAGGTGAGTGTCTATTTTAACCCATCTCAGTTCGAAATTCGAAACAAGTTCACAAGATAGAAGGGCTTTAAATATTAAATCCAAGCCAACTCTGCCAGGGTCATTTTTTGGAGATCAAAGACTTATAGGCAGCTTTGACAGCACTGCTGTGCTCACAGAGCCTCTCTTCTCTCTGTATTGACTTGCCAGTGCCTTCTCTTCAAATCTTTCTCTGCTAAAGCCAATCTGTGTATGGTTGAAATTGCTGTGAACAGCACTTTCTTTTTACAGACATACACACTCGCTCTAACGTCACAATCTGCGTCAATTGTAAATGATATTGGTTTTATTTTCTTCAGCATAACTGTATGACAGATTCACATATATAGTGAACATTTGTAGTGTCTAAACAATACCACTTACAACCCTAGAAACATTTAACAGCCCATCTGACATATCAGTTTAGTCTCAATTGTTTAGAATATATGCCAGACAAAATTAATAAAGGCAAAACTTTTTGACTGACAGGGTGACAAAGGTGTGCCTGGTCACAGAGGAGACAAGGTAAGGACAGCATAAGCCTAGATTGAATAATTGCAAGGTGTTTATTTTGATTATTTCACCAACTACCAAAACGACTGGTTTTGTAGGGTAGTCCTCTCTCCATGCCAGGACCCAGAGGATATAAGGGTCTAAAAGGAGAGCCAGTGAGGTATTTCTGCATTTTAAATTCTCATTTCACTATAATGTTTCCCACAAAGGCCATACTAGACTGTGCAAACTGAGTTTTTAATTAAGTATAAATCAATGACAGATACAGGGCAATGTATGTTGACCTTCAGTCTGAATTTTACATGGCAGGGTGAACGTGGGCTTCCAGGATTTGTTGGAGATGAAGGAGAGAAGGGTGAAGATGGTCCACCTGGTGCAAAGGTATTTTATACACCGTTCGATTTTTTTAAATAAATGAATATTTGTATTCAGTAATGCATTAAATGAATGAAAAGACAGTAAAGACATTTACATAAAAATTCAAAAAACAAAACAAACCTTCTTTCTATTTAATAAATGCAGTACTTTCCATTCATCAAAGAATCCTGGAAAAATGCATCTCAGTATCCACAAAAATGTTCAACATTGATAATAAGAAATTGTTTCTTGAGCACCAAATCAACATATTTGAAGAATGATTTATGAAGGATCATTTGAAACTGTAAACCGTTAACCCTGAAATGGCTGCTGAAAATCCATCTTTGCCATCACTGCAATAAATAAATATTTAGAGAATATTAAAATAGAAAATATTTAAATTGTAATAATATTTCATAAGAGAGTTCAAGATCTTAACGGTAGTGTATGGTACCGGTAGAGAGTCATGTATTTGGACCATATAAAGTGAAATTCTAGCACTTGTTTCATGTAATTTCAGGGGCTGAAGGAGGCATGGGGCCTTTTGGCACACGCGGTCCAGTAGGACAAAAGGTCAAAATTAGCACTACTGTGATGTATATGCACTATATTGCTTGAAACTGCATTTTTTTTTTTTTGTATGGATTATATTGTTTTGAATGGCATGTTATATCCAGTAAATTTTGGGTGTGAAGGTACAATTATTTTCTTAGGGAGATCCAGGAGAGCCAGGCGCCAGTGGGGAAAAGGTAGCCTTGTTGTAATATTTCCATAACAAATGTTTGAGATGTTTAGATTTTTAGGCATTTTGCATGTATAACTTTTGTTAAATACCACTGATCGGCTGAGAGTTGTCACAGGGTCGTAATGGAGAACATGGATTGGATGGTGAGAAAGGTGATAAGGGAGACATGGGCCTGTAGGACCGAAAGTGAGATCAGGTGGGAATATGAATCAGCTGAATTAAATATTAATTCATATTAATTCATAAGAAATTTGTCCAAGCAACAGGGGTACCTGAGAGGGAGAACACTGTTCCCTTAACCTTTCTAACTAACTACATTATTTAGATTAATGATTAAATAAGTAGGCTTTCCTGTGAGTTTTTTTTTTTTAAGTAACACTTCATTCATGGACATAGACTCATTGGTTTGTGTGTTCAGGGTGAGACAGGAGAGCCTGGTTTACCTGGAGATACAGGAATTAAAGGTGAGAAGATACGAAATGTCAATCTTGTCTTTACTTTTTGTGTTCTCACCTGTCTGTAACCATTGAATCACAACACTTATTTTTCTGTAGGGCTTTTGAGGTTTCCCTGGTCGAAAAGGGAGTCCAGGACTGGATGGAGAACAGGTATTTTTTGGCTAAATTTCATCTTAAATTGGAAATTGGATTAAATAAACCACTAAGGACATTTCTTTTGACTGTAAATCACAAGGGTGATTCTGGGGACCCTGGCAGGCCTGGCATTCCAGGACTAAACGGTATCCCAGGACGAAAGGTGAGTCAATACACAAACAGATATTGATAACCTCATCATCATTGTAAGGTTAAGTATAGGATTAATTGTTATTGTTAATGTTTAGGGAGAAAAAGGTGATAGTGGTCTGAACAGTCTTGATGGAGCTCCTGGACAAAAAGGAGGGAAGGTAAAAATAATTATAAATAGTCTATAAATAAAAAATACTAAAATAACACTGTTATCATGTCACAGCAAACATTAGAAAACCATACTTGCATCATCAAATGTCAAATTTTAATATATGTACATGAGGGGATTTCATTTTGGATAACTGTTATTCAAAATAATCGTTTCCCTGTCAAATATATTCATTTTAATTCATTTAAATCATCAAAATCATTCATTTAACCCATTCTTCTGCAGGGTTCGACTGGTTTCCCAGGTTTCACAGGGTTTAAGGGATCTCCTGGTGCACCAGGAGCTAATGGGGCTCCGGGTCGGCCTGGTCCGGTTGGACCTAAAGGTGAAATGGGACCAAAGGTATGACCAACCCGCCTACACTTAGACAATAATATCTACACAATAATAGAGCTGGATTTATTATTCCTATGTCTGTGTGATTCATCAGATAGATGGATAAATAGTCAAGCCAGTGTAATTATGGCCATCTTCATATCTCACTCAATCCCATGTGGAGGAACCGTGGAGGAGGACAAGGCCCTAATTAACCCCAAGAAAGACAGGATGAGAGAGAGATAGAGAGAGACGGGGGGTAGGAGCTATTTCTGCTGGGATGAAGATTTGAGCTATCAAACCAAACACTGCGCTAAGGCCGCCTTTAGCCACAATTAGGCAGCTCTTGATGTTGATAAGAATGGAGAGTGTTCAGCAAGCTGCACTCACAGAGTCTCTTTAGATAAAGGTGGACTGTACTTCAGCACAGAATCAGCAGACGATCTTAAAACATGAGGCATTTTCAGTGAGATGGATAAAGGTTGTTGAAATTGGTGATGGTCTCTTACTAGTTTTGCATTTTCCATGTATTAGCAGTTTAACAGGTTTCCTAACAGTAATTATGTGAATATATTATTTTGTGTGTAATATAAATAAGTGCGTGTGCGTGTGAATGTGAGTAGTGTGTTGTGACACAACAAAACTGAGTCGCACCGTTTCTGTTTTAAGCTACTCCAGACACTTTTTTTTTTCTGCCAATCTGAGATAATTTTTTTTTCACCGTAATGTGAATTGTTGATTCTAACCGTAACAGCCAAAAATTTGTTCCGGCGGATGATGCAGCATGTATGCGCAGCGCGCCCGCCTCTGAGATATGCTAGTCTCGCGAGTTTGTTTATAGGAGCAAAGGAAGCAACGTTTCCTTACTTTAGCAAAGGAAAACCAGTCTCCTCTTGGTTTATATTGAAGACATTTTTCTTTGCAAATCCTCGGTTTGTACTTCTAATTCATGACCGGCGTTTTGTTTTGTTCTCTCTCCGCGTTCGTCACTAATCACGCAACGCCGACATCTTACGTCATCCACCGGAACAGCAGTATGACAGATACCGGAAGTGAGAAAAAAGTGTTTATTACGTTTGAAATATGGATATTTTTCTTACAAAAATGCATGGATTCGCTACAGGAGGCTTTTATTCACCCCCCAGAGCGGTGTGAGGCACGTCTTGTTATGGATGCACTCGCTTTATTTGACGACTTGTGGACTGTTCAACTGCAACACCCACTGACTGCAATGATAGAGCTTGGAATAGCCAGGACAATTTTTAATATAACTCCGACTGGATTCGTCTAAAAGAAGAAAGTCATATACACCTAGGATGCCTCGAGGGTGAGTAAAACACAAGCTAATTTTCATTTTGGGTGAACTAACTTTAAGTAAAGTTTATCAATTAAACAGTATTGTAAAATATTACTCCCATTGGTTTGGTTATGCGTAGCCTCAGGATCAAACCTGATTGATCCAGGGTTAGCGATTGTTTCATGGTGATGTGCAGCTTCTATGTATTACTACCCGTCCAACATTGTTTGATTTGATTGTCTGATCATCCCAGGGAGAGAAGGGGAGGAGAGGCAGAGGAAAGGCCTGTCAACGGGGACCTCCTGGAATTCCTGGCCTTAGAGGCCTGAATGTAATAAGGCATCTACACACAAATAACTGTATCCTCCACTCTATCAGGACTTTATCCATTCACAAACATGCTCAGTCAGTTATACATATCCTCTATGCAGGGGGAAATGGGAACCTCGGGCATGAAAGGAGAAAAAGGGGAGCCAGGACTTGGTGTATGTTGACAATGCCCTCTTTTATGATATATTTATCCTTATGGATTACAGATATGTGATTAAATAATTATTAAACAATTCTCATTTGTTCAGGTGGAGGAAGTGAAGGATCTTGTGACAAAGGAGGTGGTTGAGAAGTGCGGTGAGTATGTGTGTATGCAAAGATTTAAAAATCGTACATAGTATTTTTTTTCTTGTTTTCAGTACAAATATATCAAAAAATTCATAAAGAGACATTTACTTTTGATAATTTTTCAGAAAACAAGACCTAATATCTTAAAGGGGTCATATGATGCTTTTTTAAAGATCATTATGTTGTGTATTTGGTGTAACAGAATATGTTGACATGCTTTAATGTTCAAAAAACACATTATTTTTCAAATACTGTACATTATTGTAGGTCCTCTATGCCCCGCCTCTCTCAAACGCTTCGTTTTCTACATTGAAATCGCATCATATGACCCCTTTAAGTCATTTTGCTTCTGAAGTAAATGTATCTTGATTTGACAATGTTTAGATATTTGTACTGGAAACAAGACAAAAATACTGAGAAAGAAGTAAAAACTGAGTTTTTTTGCAGTGCATTCCATCTTACCGTATCCGATCAGACTGTTAGCTAAACAATTAATGTCAAGATATACAACAATACATTCCACTGAATAGATTGTTTGTCTGTTCACGTTCAATTAAATATTGTTTCTACCTCTATAAAGATCTACTCAGTTGTGCACTGTACTGCGGTCCACTTAAGTGAAATTATGACTGAATAACAGAGCTTCATTAACACATGTATGTGGGTGGTTAGAAGTGTGTGATTTTGTGTATTTGTGTCTCTCAGTATATGTGTTTGGAGGCCCCTGTTGTGGAGGCCTCAGGACCCCATGGGTTCCACCATCTGTTGTGTTTTTATGGGCTCTCTTGCTGAAGAAAAACTGTGAAGAACTCCATGTTCGGAAGTCATTCATGAATAAGAAAACTAAATTAACAAAACTGGGACTGTTTTGAAGCAATGACTTCTCTGGTGTAAAAAAAATCAAATGATTGAATTACTGTCTATTTGATTATGAAATTAAATGAATTAATGATTTTAGCCTAATGACATTTGCCTAAAGCATGGTCATGTTTCTAACTAAAGGAAAGGAAACTCCTGATGGTGAACACCGATGATACAGATGATGGGAATATCCTAAGGGAAGAGAGAAGAGCAGATTCTGCTTCTCCGTTCTTGCTCACCCACCCCAAAGTGTGGGATGAAGAGTTGGAGGACGAGATCACTACAGTTCATTCTGCTGGTTCAGAGTCAGAGCCAACATTAGCATTTGGCAATGTTACAAGTAGGTATATTCCTGCTTTGAACCAATATGTTATTACATGGTTTGTCTCTTATATGATATCATCCCTATATTTTGTGCTTAGGGCCTGGAAGCGTTTGGATGGGGAAACTCTAGTTTTATATAATCAGTTTTATGCTCAAATTAACTTCTGCTGTGTCTTGTGAACATTAGTCTTGATCTGGCATCTTTGTACTTGAGTTCATTCATCCATAAACACCATTCAGTTCTTTTTCCCTGATGGAAAACAGGAAGTCATACGCAAAGGTTCTGCATGGTCTACTTCTGTGTTATTTTAAGCAACTGAGTCACACTACAAAAAACTAAATCTGTGTTGTTGTTTTTTTAGTTCCAACCATATAGTAATTGCTCATGGCAGCCTGATGTTAATTTCAATGACCAAAACCAAGACATAGTACAGGTTATCTAGCGGGCTACATTATTATATGGTGTACACTTCAGATGAATAGAATAAATTAAGGAAAAAGAATAAAGAATGTTCAAAACCACTGATGACCGATAACGTTTCCACTACTACACAAACACTTGATCTTTATTTTTATTTTTTTATCTATCTGTGTTTGCATGGTCCAGACAGTCAGTCATTGTTAGGCCATAGGTGGTGACAACTAAACATCTTTATGAGCGAGTCATCAAATCATTAATTCAACCGATTCATTCAAAAACAATTCATTTGATTAATTTAGGACGCTACTGCCACTACTGTGTGTCTGTGTTGCTTGGAAATGTGCAAAGGTTAATCAGGCATCTTTCTTATTTAATAAAATCATGTCAACTCAAATCAGTATTTCATGTCAGTGTACTTAATTATATTTAGTAAATAGTCATGTAATATAAGATAAATATACCACCATTAACATCTTCTAGATGTTAACCTGTAACACATACACACCTATGTGATTATGTTTGTGCAATGACTCAACGTTTAAATGATCTAAGCCCCTTTTCAGAACTTACCCCCATGAACTGTGGCTTTTTCAGCTGCCCCAGAAAGTCAAGGAAAGGTGGTGGAATTGCTGTTATTTTTAAAAAGATGTTTAAGTGCAGGCTTTTATTAGTAGATAGTTACCACAGTTTTGAGGCTATGTTATGCAAAGTTGAATCCCTAGGTTCTCTGCTCATTGCAGTGATATATAGACCACCAAACTCTAAAATACATCTGTGTTGTCCTTCAAAGCCTCTTGTAAAAGAGTTTGTACAGCTTATCGATTCTTTTAACCTTAAGCAATCAATATCTGGCCCTACACATAAGTTAGGGCACACACTTGATCTTGTGTTATCCTCAGGCTTCCCCATCAAAGACATTTATGTAAATGATTCTGACTTGTCTGACCATTGGCCTGTTGTGTTTGACAGCGAGTTTTCTTGTTGCAGCTCAGTATACCACCCATCTACTTTTCTTGCACGCCCCTTAAATTCATCTACTGCTATGCTTTTTAAAGATTTGTTTTTAGCTTCAGCAGCTGAAAGTACAAATTTGGCATCACAAGGCATGGATGTTGAGGATATGGTCATTAATTTTAATGCTTCTTGTATTGAAGTATTAAATGCAGTTGCTCCTCTCAAAGCTAAGAAAACCAAAAGAAAAAAGCAGCCCTGGCTAAATGAAGACATTAAAGCTTTAAGGAAAAAATGTAGAAGGGCAGAAAGAAATATGGAACGGACGTGTTCAAAGCACTGCATGGACTTGCCCCCATTTATATATCAGAACTTTTAAGTTTTTATTCTCCTCAGAGATCACTCAGATCTTCAGTCCAGTTGTTTCTGAATGTCCCGAAATCTCGTTTGAAAACCAAGGGAGACAGGTCTGTTTCAGTCTATGCTCCTAAACTTTGGAACACACTATCCTTAACGATTAGAGCTTCTCCTACATTAAGCGTTTTCAAAGCATCAATTAAAACCTATCTTTTTTCACAGGCTTACTCATAATTTGGTTCATTTGTATGTACCTCTTAAATGCTAGGGGTTGCAGTTTTTGTGATGTACCAGATTGTGACTGCTTTTTACATTTATACAATTTTGTTTTATTATTCTTTTAAGTTAATGGATTGTTTACTTGTTACGTTTGTTTTCTATGTGTGTTTTGTTTTGCTTGTGAAGCACTTTGGTCAACATTTGTGTTGTTTTAAGGTGCTATATAAATAAACTTTGACCTTGACCTTGACCTTGACTCTGCATAGTGCTGCACTTGGTTTAAAGGAGTAGTTCACCCCGAGATGATTTTTATTTTTTTTTTTGGAAAATTTACTCACCTTCAGGTCATCCAAGAGTTAGATGAGTTTGTTTCTTCATCAGATTTGGAGAAATGTATCATTACATACTTGCTCACCAAAGGATCCTCTGCAGTGAATGGGTGCCATCAGAATGAGTCCAAATACCTAATAAAAACATCACAATAATCCACAAGTAATCCACACGACTCCAGTCTATTAATTAATGTCTGCATGCATAGCTTCAAATCATTGTTTCTGGCTAAAATATGAGTCCTCTATCCATAATATTGTTTTATGCAGTAAAAAGTTGTCTTGTCTGAATCAGGAAAGCAAGCACTAAGTCCAAAACAGTTCAAAACAAATATGTCTGTGGCTTTTGATGTGAGAAGGCAACAGGGGATGGACTTTTTCACTGGAGGAAGCATTATTATGGAATATGGACTTGACACGTTTCTTTTCATGTCACAAGACATTAATAGACTGTAGCCTTGTGAATTATTGTGATGTTTTTAGCTGTTAGAACTCTCATACTGACAGCACCCATTCACAGCAGAAAATCCATTGGAGAGCCAGTGATGTAATGCTTAATTTCTCCAGATCAACAAACAAACTCATTTACATCTTGGATGACCTGAGGGTGAGTACATTTTTAGCAAATTTGGGTGAACTATTCCTTTAAATGTAAAATCTGTGTATAATATATGCTTTTCTGTTGCACTCAGGAGCCAGTACTGAGGGAGATGGAGAGCAGAGAGAAAAGAGATATGCACTCAAACGCCACTCAGGTATGTGTGGAGTAAACGAGGAGAACATCGTCCTCTGCTGACTGCTGCTCCAAGTGCTTTTAAGGAGTTAATACAGCAACAGAAACTGCTCACATAAGCAATATAGTCTGATTTCTTGTACAAATTAAACCTGGTCCTTGAATAAAAAGGGTTTGCAGTGGGAATTTTGGTTTAATGTCCAGGAAAGTAGTCCAAAGTAGTACACCGTAATGGTCCAGGCACAAAAAGTGCAATGCATAAGACATGGACAAGATTATTTTATGCACTACTTTTTTCTTTTTTTTTACCACAGTCTATTTCTGTCACATCCACAGTATATATGAGACACAAGGAACGGAAACAGACCGATAAGAGCAGAATTAATCCACTGATAAAAACAATATTCAAATCATCACTCTGCAAGTGTGTAAGTTTGCGTGTATACAAGTGCATATGTGTGTGAGACAGAGAAAAAGAGATAAGACAGAGACAGAACATTTGACTGACAGTATATATACTGAATATATATACAGTATATATACTGTATATATATAATTTAATTTACATTAATTTCATTAGAACATTAGTTTGAATGCATTTATACTCCCTTGAAACTGATTATGTTGCCTCCATTAAATGCAGACCCAGCTGCTGATCTGTGCCTTGAACCCATGTCTGAGGGCCACTGCACTGAATACGTCCTGCTCTGGTACTACTACACTGTCTCAGGAGAATGCCGTCCTTTTGTGTATGGTGGCTGTGGAGGAAATAGGAACCGCTTCAGCTCCAAACAGGACTGTGAGAGTCAATGTATTCTGGGGAGGAGAGGTAAAGTGCTAATCATAATTCAGGCTTCAGGTTCCAATATAAATGGTCAGAGGTGATTGTTCAAACGATGCTAAAGACATTCAGGTTTATTTATTTATTAGCAAATTCATTTAATTACATTTACTTATCTATTTACAAATTCTGGGTCCTGAGGAGAAATGTGCTATTTTTAACAGCTAAACTGAAATGTATCTGACTAAAAATACTATTTTTATCTATCCTATATGTATATTAGTTTATCGCAGCTTTAGATGACGGAAAAAAATATTCTGTCACATTTACATTTCACTTCTATAGCACCACACATTGTTGCACTGTTGTAGTGAGTGATACATGCTTACCTATGAATTTCTTACAAATATGCCATGTTTTTATTTAAAAATAGTTTGATGCTTAGTAAGTGAGGTCATGATTCTAATGCACTATTAATATAACCAACTATGTGTTTATGACCTGTTTACCATGAGGTTTACCATTTTGCACTAATGGTTCTGTTCTTAAAATTTTCTTAATCTGACTGTTTTAAAACTAATACGTGAGACAATTAAAACAATGAAATGAATATATTTTTGAATGAGCTATATAGCTCGCTGTGGGTTGGTGGGTGTGTGCGTGAGAACATTTTCACATCGTGACCTCTGATTTTGGACCGTGTTCTCTGAGCTTGGCCCTGTGGTGTATATAAATGCTGCCATATTGGCTTTTCCTCAGAAATGTTTGTCGAGTCGTGTCTGGACGGTGTCTCCTGGGGGCAGGCGGAGGTGGTGTGCGTGTGTGTATTTGAAGCAAATAGACTATCTGCATTTGTGGGTGGCTGATATGTGCACATTTGTGAAAGTATGTGTTTCCTTCCTCATTATTTTTACCCTCCTTTGACATTCATTCTGTTCTGTTTTATATAATTCCCCAAGCAAGCTGCTCCCTGTTGCATACCGAGGTTTCTCGCTCTTTACATATGTCCCAGCGGCAGGGGGCCCGTGTAGCAGGAGGTCCATAGTCCAATTTCGAGACTGTGGTACAGTGTGTCTAAGGGGATCCCTGAGTGAACTTCATTGTGTACACTACAGAGAACAGATGCTCTTTACACCTGCTTTAAAATGTAGCCTGTAGTGTTTAAGTTTTAATGAGCTTCCTTTTAACGTCATGTGGAATAAATATATTATCGTCCAGCCCAATGCACAATGTTTACAATGTATAAAGGTGATCGTTAATGAAGTCTCCAAACTTCTGAGCCCTTGATAGCAAAGCAATTAATCATTAAAGCGAGGTGGGAAGAAAACTCATTAAACTTATAAGCATAAACTGCAGTGCAATTAACTCACAGGGAAGTCTAAAAATGGACAAACATTTGATATGATCATTGACCCTGAAAACTGAGAGAACAATAAAACAGATCCTTTTAAATCTTATAAATGTCTTAATACAGATGCAAACTAAATAAATTGATGCGCTGTCCATGGTACTGAATGCCTTTAGATGAGTGGGTAAATTCTCAATATGCCTGCTAAATTATAAACCTTATAACTATTTTATTCTGACATAGAGTGGTCAATTAGTATGTATAAAGAACAATAAATTGTTTATAAATTGTTAAAATAGGTAACTGTTGCACATGATAACATACTGAACACTATCAGAACGATCAACTGAATTAAAAAAATAAAAGGATGATGTTACTTTGTAGCTAAATATATTAGATGACTAGTTTATTTAAGATTATTAGATTAATAATGGCTTGTATTAACACTGTAGTATTGTTACAGTATTTGTCGTGTTCCTGGGCCTATCGATTTCTACATTGCAGGTTAAAAGTCTTTTTTTAAGTTAATCCAATCAAGGTTCCTGCACACATCCTGAAAAGTGAAGCAAAAGCATTTTGGTCGCCCCCAGTTGCTGGTTGCAGTATTGGTCATAAATGCTTTTCTAATAAGTTTGGTTTTAATGATCAACTTCACACAAAACTCAGGTTGCAAATGACATTATCAGGATGGGAAGTCGTGGCCTAATGGTTAGAGAGTCGGACTCGTAACCCAAAGGTTGCGAGTTCGAGTCTCAGGTCCGGCAGGAATTGTAGGTGGGGTGAATGTACAGCGCTCTCTTCCACCTTCAATACCACGACTGAGGTGCCCTTGAGCAAGGCACCGAACCCCCAACTGCTCCCCGGGCACCGCAGCATAAATGGCTGCCCACTGCTCCGGGTGTGTGTTCACGGTGTGTGTTTGTTCACTGCTGTGTGTGTGCACTTAGGATGGGTTAAATGCAGAGCACTAATTCCTAGTATGGGTAACCATACTTGGCCACATGTCACGTCACTTTCATTTTCGCAAGATGGTAGCGGGCATCTTGGGACATTTTGGCTTCACTTTCTACAGTGGAAGCAAGGACTTTAGATATACAAAGACAGTGCACTTATGAATGGGAGAACGTGCAGCAGGCAGTATGGGGAAATAGTCTCGACATTCACTAAGCTGCAGTTAGAAGCTGTGGTTGCTATAGAAAGGACTGCACATGTGCTTTGGTTGGCATAGCCTGAAAAAGCTTTTTTAATGCTATTTGAGCACAAAACTAAATTTGACAGTTTTGTCAGATTTCATTGGTGATGAAATTTAATCATAAACTTGGTGAATAGCTTTGGTTTTGACATTTCCCCACTACATGACTGAAAAAGCTGCCCAAGAGGCATTTCAGAGATGGCCACCAAGTTGCCTTGACTCTGGTGGAAGGAAGTAGAGATTCCTTGTCTTTTTTTTTTTTTTTACTACAGTCTATAAATCTCACAGCAGTTCATAACTATATCACGTTTTGCCAAATTGGTGGTTAATTTGTATGGGATACAATCCCATCCACGCGTTAATCATACTCATTCAAATTCGTACGAAAAATCGCCATCTTGTAAAACAGTAATGTTTTCTCGTGAGACTGGGTTCTGGGTTGGTTAATTAATCTACAGCTAAAATAGGCTACAATAATAAGCTGAAATTTTCAACTTATTTATTTATTTTGTATGTAGCTGTAGTATGTAGCCGGTCGTGATACAGGACCTGATCAGATGATCAACCTTTTTTTTTCTCAGATAATCACAGGCTGGCTCAAAATATTAAGCTCATCTGTTCTAAACGCGCCTTGGGTGCACGAGCGCATCAATCACCTCCTTATTTTACTGGGAGGATCCCAATAAATGACGTTATTGCTGGCGTACGACTGCAGCGTAATTAGGTTTATACTAAATAAATGCACATCCAATGGGCAAACAGTCCAAGCGGATATTATGAGCAGCCAGGGAGATATCAAACCCACTAAATCACTGTTATGATTCAATGCGACATTAAGTTGACACTGAGTTGTTGACTTGCTTGCCTTTTTAATAACACTTTGGATTCACGATCCAAAAGTTCTGGTTGACCTAACAGTGCTTCACTTCAGAAGATTCTCCTCATTGAAACGGTGCAGGTAAGGTACTTTTGCATTAGATTCAAGGTAATAGTTTACTCAGAAAGAACAATTCTGACATAAATTACACAGAGGTTGTTCCAAACATGTGTGACTTTATTTCTGGAACACGAGAATATTAGAGACTGATAGCTTTTGTCACCATTATGCTACATTATTTTCTGTATGCAATTAGTATAGTAGTATACAAAGTGAATTGTGCAGGGTAACACCACCTTATGTGTTCCACAAAAGAAAAAACTCGAGTTAGTAAAAAAGGAAGACTATTTTCACTTTTCGTTGAACATTTACTTCATGTGTAGATGCACAGGACACTTTTTATACAATCTTTCTTACAAAAAGTTTTACTAAAGTAATCATTACGCAGAAAATGTTCATCTAAAAGCCTTGTATGTATTACCACGCGCCTCCGTTCAACAGGGCAAAACGATGTGGCTCGCCCGGACCCTCCTCGCTCTGGCACTTCTTTGCGCACCGGTTTCCAGCCTCTGCTTACCGACGTACGACCCCGTGTCCAACTTTCTTTGCAACAATGAAGTGTTCTCCGAGACAGATGATAACGGGCAACCAGCAAATTCCCTGCTGGACAGTCTAAACCGCCTGTACAAATCGGCACACGCGCTTTCCTCCGAGGAGCCGCGCGAGAGGAGGACGATACCCGCGTCCAAATACAGATACTTGAGCCAGACGCAGCTCAGGAGTAAACTGTACCGTAACAGTGCGAAGAGCGACCGACGCAGCCAGGTCACTCTATCCCTCGATGTCCCCACCAACATTATGAACATCCTCTTCAACATTGCCAAAGCCAAGAACCTGCGCGCAAAGGCGGACGACAACGCGCGCTTGCTGGCGCAGATTGGAAAGAGAAAGTGAACTCTTATGTCAATAATTTGACTTTAATATATTTTTTTGTAACCTACTGAGGCATGTTATCTCTAATTTACTAATGTAATAAAAGTTTTTTGTTCAGTTGCATAACAAATTAGCAATGCTGAAAATTAATGGAACGTATTAACAAGTGACATAATGGGGTTTGATTTAAACGCGTTATGGTTTAGTCATGTTAGGCTTGTCACGTTTGTTAGATTTAATGCTGTTTTACAGAAAATGATTTCAAATGGGCTTATTAGCCTACCTACAGTAGTGAGACTCGTATGGCTTGTCAGCAAGATTGTTTGGTCAATTTCTAAACTTAAGCTTCAAAGAGACATAATGATTGGAGTATATTATATGTCTCAGAGGGAAGTTCGACATATTTTGCAATGCTCCTACACCTCTCCCTTTTCATTAACACAACTTGTCTGTACATCTCAGATGAAAGCTGTCCTGATTAGTATTAAACAGTTACTGCTCACGACTGGATGGTTACAGATATGTAAAGTTCTGAAAACTGGGTTGATAAATCCGACAGTTGAATATTTTTGTACTGAAAACAATTATTTTATCGTTTAATAAATAAATAATTGCAAATGTAACAAAGCGTCCATTCGAAGGTAATTGTTTCGAGACATAAGAATCTCTCTCTCTCTCTCTCTCTCTCTAAACACATCACTCAAAACTTTTCGCAGCTGCATTCAAGACAGACTAGTCAATGCAATAATTATTGAGAAGTCTACTTATGTTGCAGACAAATAGTGTTGAATAATAAATATACATTTGATCACTTTTTTTCAGATAGAATCAACATTTTGGTGAAGACCGAAATTAGTCTCTCAAAACAAATATAAAAAAAATTATATAGAGATAATTCTAAATAATTTATGATATTACAATCCATTCATAATATTATATTTCACAAAGTCGTAGCATTTAAATATTGTGTAAATTAAATCTAAATATTTAAAACTATATATATATATATATCTGGAACGTTCGCAGAACGTACGAATCAACCTCTTCATCGTCATCCCGACTTTTAAGCATAAACTTTTATTTTGAAGCTTGATCTCGGTGGGCGCCATCTTCACCTCAGCCAGCACACGACATACGTCACTCTAGTTGACGTGGAGGAAAAGAGCGTGAATGACTGACTGATCATCTCGTTTACTGCTCTCAAACATTCCGCAACATGATCAAGAAATTTGACAAGAAGGATGAGGAGTCTGGTAAGATCAATATTAAATACACGCTGACACATTATAGATTCAGTATTCTGTTATTAACCGCTTATTTCCGTGGCCGAAATGATGACGGCTGTTTTGCTAAGGAAGAGTGTCTGCAGGCCACAGCACTTCTGTAATTGTAAATCTAACTTATTTAACTCTAAAAAAATTAATGTGCATGTTCCAGTTTTGTACTTAATTCTGCCTTTGAGTGGCGGATTAACTGTGATACTGCAGTATCCTGTAGTATGTGTTTTTAATCTTTAATTGGGAAGCTAATGTGCTAGCAGTTCTCTTTATTGATCTTCAGTAACTTAACGTTACAAATATCAACGGTGAAGATCCTACCTTTACTTCGTGTTTTTTCCCCCAATAAGCTTTCTATTTTATATATATATATAAAGGGAACTTCTTACTGAGTTTGATTAAAAATTGGATGAGTTACTGCAAAAGGGGCCACATAGATGCTATTCTCTCCTATAATGCTCTTACTGTATAATATTCCGACAGTTCAGATTTAGAAGATCTTACTCTTTGGTTTTAGTTTACTTTGCATATAGGTTTTACATTTCATAGGTGTGACTAATATTGCTGTTTTGAAGTGAACTAACTCAGACGAAGAGTCACATATAGATGCTGTTTGACTTATTCTATGAGTGCGTTTCTAAAATAAATAGCATCTTATGATTTATAATTTAATAACTTATAGGTTATTATATTACCTGATGTTGTATTTGAATGAAGACGCATAGATTTAGATGATCGATAGATCTATTTTGATGTGTTTAGGAAGTGGCTCGAACCCCTTTCAGCATCTGGAGAAGAGCGCTGTACTACAGGAGGTGAGTTTGATGCATCCGAATCTTCAAATCAGATAAATGTCTCGTTCGCACTGTATATTATATTGCATGTATGTTTCAAAGGCTCGGATTTTCAACGAGACACCAATCAATCCGAGAAGATGTCTGCACATCCTCACAAAGATCATCTACCTGCTCAACCAGGTACATGATTATATCTTACTTTTCCAGCAGCTTTCCACTACAGTTTTTCCTTCTTCTCTCTCTCTCTCTCTCTCTCTCTCTCTCTCTCTCTGTGGACTGATCCATCACTAACCTCCTTCATTTTTCAGGGTGAGCACTTTGGAACCACAGAGGCCACTGAAGCTTTCTTTGCCATGACAAGACTGTTCCAGTCTAATGATGTAAGAAAATGTACAGCCCCATTAACTGTTTTTATTAGAGTTACATATTGCATTATGTATAATATAATTTAATTAATGACAGTAACAAAATTATACACAATAATTTCTTACACAAAATTTGCCAAAGCAGACAGTTATTGTCCAATACAAGTCTGGCTGATTTATCTGTGTTTATTATTTCTTGGGTTGTTGTTAAAAATTATAACACATAGTTCCTATTTTTTTAAAAATAGTTTATTGAAATAAATCAAATGAAATAAAATATAAATATTTAAAAAGTATTGAAAACCTGAAAATTGAAAATTAGGAATGCCTTGGCAACTACCTGAAATATCTTCAAGTTGAAGCACTATAATTATTAACTGGAAAATACTTAAATAAACAAACAAATAATTGTTTGTTTTAGCAAACCCTGAGAAGAATGTGCTACCTGACTATAAAGGAGATGGCCAACATCTCAGAGGATGTGATCATTGTTACAAGCAGGTGAGCACTTCATGTTGCCATAGCAGCGGATTTCTTACTTGAGATATTTACAATATATTTTTTCTAATATGTGTAGTGTAAAAACGTTTTATTTGATGAGGAATGGAAATCTTTGCACACGCCACTGATATTACCTTATGAAAATCACTGATTAATGTTTTGTTTGTGTCTCAGCTTGACAAAAGACATGACTGGTAAAGAGGATGTTTACAGAGGACCGGCAATCAGAGCTCTCTGCAGGATCACTGATGTGAGTCTCGACTGTTTGCAAACTCATTTATCTCTGTGTATAGGAGACTTAATTTGCTGTTGGTGAGAAATAAACTATATAGAAACTGCTGGAACAGATATAAATGATCCTTCCAACTGTGCTTCTTCCATCTTGTCCATCAGACCACCATGCTGCAAGCTATTGAGCGATACATGAAACAGGCCATTGTGGACAAAGTGCCCAGCGTCTCCAGCTCTGCTCTGGTCTCCTCACTGGTAAGATCACAAGCTAGTATTATTTTAGTGACATATACTATTATAGTATTTATCGATATTTTAAATGTACTGTATATAGTTTGAATTTACATTAGAATTTTAGTTTCTTTTTTATGTTTATTAGTTTTTTTATATTCGTTTTAGCTTTTATTTTAGTACTTTAAAAAACATTTTTAAGTTTGTCTAATTTATTTTATTTCAGTGTTTTTCATTTAAGGGAAAATATTTTTTTACGGTTTTAGTTTTTAGAAACAATAACAACATTGCTAATGACAGTTCAAAGGGTGAAGGGTGTAATTTTCATGGCGCTAGCAGCACAAAACAGTATAATATTATCCAAAACACTTTCTGTCCCATCCCCATCTGTCATTGTTAATATAAACTAATCTGTTTACCGCTTAACTGTTTATTACACTTATTCCCATGATGGATAATTCTGGATAATGAAGCTCTGTTTGTGTATCTGTTCTTCAGCACATGGTGAAGATGAGCTTTGATGTGGTCAAACGCTGGGTCAATGAAGCTCAGGAGGCGGCTTCGAGTGATAACATCATGGTGCAGGTTAGTTGTTTACATCCATTATCTGATGAGTTGATGGTCTTTCTTTCTCTAATGAAATGGGATCTTTCTCCACAGTACCATGCGCTGGGTCTTCTGTATCATCTGAGGAAGAATGACCGTCTGGCTGTGACCAAGATGCTCAACAAATTCACCAAATCTGGCCTGAAGTCTCCATTTGCTTACTGCATGATGATTCGCATTGCCAGTAAACTGCTGGAGGAGACAGAGGGAGGGTATGTGTATTGGACATCAGTTTTTTTCAGGCTCATTTAGGCAATATTAACGTTATGCAGTTGCTTATAATGTAGACTTACCTAGTCTGTCTACATGTGGTTTATCAGACACGATAGCCCGCTGTTTGACTTCATTGAGAGCTGCTTGAGGAATAAACATGAGATGGTGGTTTATGAAGCGGCCTCTGCCATCGTCCACATGCCCAAATGTACCGCCCGTGAGCTGGCTCCTGCTGTGTCTGGTTAGTCTTTCTTCTTTGCTTTCTAACCAGCACACACAACAGAGTACACTAGAATAATTTGGTCTTTCTTTCTTTCCCTTTCCATAGTTCTCCAGCTGTTTTGCAGCTCTCCCAAAGCAGCTCTGCGATATGCAGCTGTACGGACCCTTAATAAGGTTGGTTTGAATAGGATTTAGTTTGTAACTAGTTGCAGTATCTATCAACTACCACATGGAGACACCAAAGAACACATTTTTATGTTCAAAGTAGAGGTCTACACGGGTCCAAAAATGGGTCGGGTCTCGGGTCCTCCGTGTAGACCTCTAGTTCAAAGGCATGGTTTTATCACACAAATAGTGCAAAAACTACATCCTAAATAGGGTGAAACATTAGAATTCTGAATTTTTTGGCATGAAAAAGAGTTATGACCACTTTGGGAAAAAAAATACACAGGTGGCAATGAAGCACCCGTCAGCAGTGACCGCATGCAACCTGGACCTGGAGAACCTGATCACTGACTCCAACCGCAGCATCGCCACCCTGGCCATCACCACCCTGCTGAAGACCGGCAGCGAGAGCAGCGTCGACCGCCTCATGAAGCAGATCTCCTCCTTCGTCTCTGAGATCTCGGACGAGTTCAAGGTGTGACTTCATGACCCAGACAGTGAATTTCAAGAAAATTAGAGAACAAACACATGCTTCAGATGCATATGCAATCATGTTTCAGGAGTTATGTACATATATTATATTTTTTTAAATGATCGGTCCAGTGGTAATGTTCTTGTAAACAATGTGTTTTCATAACCAAATGGCGTGTTTGTTTTCCAGGTGGTTGTGGTCCAGGCCATCAGTGCTCTGTGCCAGAAGTATCCCAGAAAGCACAGCGTGATGATGAACTTCCTTTCAAACATGTTGAGAGATGATGTAAGTTCATCCAAG